TGTTGGTGGCAATCGCGAAGGAAATTCGCTCTGTCATGTATATAGGGGTTATTTATTGCGTATGGCTGAGTAAACGGCGTTACGCATTAGTTAGTGGAAAAAGGCGTTGAAAAATTTTTGTGCTCGAAAAATTAAATATGTAGAATCCTGAATTCTAAATGAAAAATAGTTAATTATCTTAAACGCACAAAAAATATGACTTAAATTCTACAATCTCCATATTTCTTCTTACTGCAAACTTTTTCAAACCATCTCAAACCAATGCAAAGAAAAATATTTCATAATTTACGATACGAGTATACGAAAAATCTCGAGAAATATTTCTCTATTTCAAATTTCAAGGAAATTTATTCCCGATCGAAAGTTAATGGTAATTGTTAATAATCGTTGTGAAATATATTCAATTGTAACGAGGTGAATTACTCTGTTTGAATCTTTAAAGAATTGAATTGTTGATCGGGTTATAATTTAGCGATAGGTTCTTGTTGGAAAGAATTTATGCAAATTGGTATAATAAAGTGTTTTTTCTCTCTCTCTTTCTCTTGTTCCAGCGTTTCTTCGTTATCGTGGAAAAAATATCTGGGTGGAACATTGGATCGATAGAACACAACGCGTTTTTCTATCAGATCGTAACATAAGAAAAAGGATCAGAAAAGTTTCGACGATACATTCACGATTTTATTAGCTACGTGTTTCTTGTTGGGTGGGACACAATGTAGGAAATCTGGTGTTTCCTTATTTACAGTAACTCAACCTTTATCCCCTTCGGTAAGAAAATCCTTCTTGCCTAATAAACTGCTAGCATTTACGATACGTTTCTGGCTAAGCTTTATCCAATATCAAATTTCAAAATTACGCCATCACGAAGATCATCGACCGTGTTAAAATTGTGAAATGAGATTCCATGTTATGAATGAACATGGAATTTTACAATCTTCGAGTTAACTGTAACAGATATATAACAAAAAGTATATAACCTCACTTTTCAATGAACCATTTTTCCTATTCACATATTCTGTATTTCGTGATATTCGTGATACAAAATGAAATATCGAAACGAAAATTATAAAACACAATATTAACCTTTCTTATCAC